TCAAGGGTCTGGAGAACAAGCCCTATGAGGAGCGGCTTAAGGAGCTGGGCATGTTTAGCCTGAAGAAGAGAAGGCTGAGAGGAGACATGATAGCCATGTATAAATATGTGAGAGGAAGTCACAGGGAGGAGGGAGCAAGCTTGTTTTCTGCTTCCTTGGAGACTAGGACGCGGAACAATGGCTTCAAACTACAAGAGAGGAGATTCCATCTGAACATGAGGAAGAACTTCCTGACTGTGAGAGCCGTTCAGCAGTGGAACTCTATGCCCCGGAGTGTGGTGGAGGCTCCTTCTTTCGAGGCTTTTAAGCAGAGGCTGGATGACCATCTGTCAGGGGTGCTTTCAATGCAATTTTCCTGCTTCTTGGCAGAATGGGACTGGATGGCCCATGAGGAGGAGATTCCATCTGAACATGAGGAAGAACTTCCTGACTGTGAGAGCGTTCAGCAGTGGAACTCTCTGCCCCGGAGTGTGGTGGAGGCTCCTTCTTTGGAGGCTTTGAAACAGAGGCTGGGTGGCCATCTGTCAGGGGTGCTTTGAATGCAATGTTCCTGCTTCTTGGCAGGATGGGGTTGGACTGGATGATGATGGCCCAGGAGGTCTCTCCCAACTCTAGGATTCTAGGATTCTATGATTCTAGGAGTGATTTATTTATTATTTATGTAAAACATTTATATTCTGCCCTTCTCACCCCAACTTAGGGGACTCAGGGTGGAGCACAACATATATATGGCACACATTCAATGCCAGGACAGAAAACCATAAATATATACAAACATTAAAATCACGTATATTCGCTTTAAAATCAGTTGCTTAAAAACCATCTCAGGTGTTGTGACTCCGTTGGAACCACAGACTGATAGTGTTGTGGCTCAGATGGGGTCTCAGAGTGACTCTGACGAGGATGATGGGATTCAGGTTCACAATCAGGTTCAAAATGTTCCTGTTGTAGACAATGAGGAACAGGGTGTGCAAGTTCTGTTTCCCACAGCAGGGAATGATGTTTTTGATACTGAAACTAGCCAGGTGAAAAGGAGGACAGTTCTCAGCCTGATAGTAGGCAGGAAGGCAACCAGGTTGACACTAACGAGCAGCCTGACCTTGAGGAAACGGAAATCTTAGATTGGGCTGACCATTTGGAATTCAGAGTTCAAAGGAGTGTGAGAATAGCCAACAAGAAGGAGGTCAGAGGCCAAAGAAATGCTTTCCTGTATTGCAAAGGGTATTAAGCAGTGTGCTTGAAAACAAACCTTGGTCAGAGCAACTTCTCGCTCAGTGAGGGCATCGGTTTCCAGGTGGAAGGCGGTCCCGGTCGGGGTTGGATTGACGCGCCTTCCTCTTGGCACGTTTCTCCCTTTCACCCTCCACTCGTGCCTCCTCAAATTCTGCAGCACTGCTAGTCACAGCTGACCTCCAGCTGGAGCGCTCAAGGGCCAAGGCTTCCCAGTTCTCAGTGTCTATGCCAGTGATTTTAAGGTTGGCTTTGAGGCCATCTTTAAATCTCTTTTCCTGTCCACCAACATTCCGTTTTCCATTCTTAAGTTCAGAGTAGAGTCTTACACTCAAAGGAGTGTGAGAATAGCCAACAAGAAGGAGGTCTGAGGCCAAAGGAATGCTTTCCTGTATTGCAAAGGGTATTAAGCAGTGTGTTTGAAAACAAACCTTTGTCAGGGCAACTCTTGGCTCAACCAAGCAGCTTGTGCACTTTTGCCTGGATTGTCTTGTGCCCATGGTCTCGGGACTTTGTCATGTTCTCATGAGATTTTGTTTTGTTGGTGCCTCTTTGGATCATGCTTCATCTTGCTGTGTTAGATTGATCTTTTGGAACTTTCACTTGCTTTTAAGAACTTTTTTATCTTTTACTTTTCAATAAACTACAAAGACTTCAGTCCGTATGTAGTTTGGTGATTTCAGCAAGGGGAATCTCTTCTGAGGTGCGACATCATCATCATCATCATCATCATCATCATCATCACTTTATATCTTAATTAGTGGCTCTCCACCAAGGTGCTCCGAGCGACTTACAATTTAAAACAGTTTATACACAATATAAAACATTCAATATAAAAACATTCAATATAAAAACATTCAACATAAAAACATTCAGCAGTGACTATGGCAAAATTTGATCCGGTTACTTAAATGCACAACCAAACAACCAAGTCTTGAGCGCCTTTGCAAAAGGTCGCAACTCCGACATTGCTCTAATGTATGGAGGCAAAGAGTTCCACAGAATTGGAGCATAGGTCGGAAAAGCTCTACTACGCCTTGTAGCTTCCAAATGTGCCTCCCTCGGGCCCGGGATGTAGAGGAGATTTTCCTGGGTGGATCAAGGTGACCACGGATGGGGAAAAGGAATGAGGCGGTCCCTAAGATATCAAGGTCCTTGGCCATTTTGAGCTCTCAATGTCAGGATCAGGATCTTGTCAGATATCCGATGTTCTCTTGGTAGCCAATGCAGTTATTGCAGAATCGGTGTCATATGGGATCTTATAGATGATCCTGCTAGCAGCCTGGCTGCCACATTTTGGACCATCTGAATCTTCTGGGTCGTTGACTTCGGAAGGCCAGCATAGAAGGCATTGCAATAGTTCAACCTCGTGGTGATTGTTGCATGGATGACCGTTGCCAATGCTTCTACCAAGAGGTCGGATGCCAATTTCCTTGCCTGGCGAAGATGAGAAAAGGCCTGCTTACTTATGGCAGTGATCTGGGCCTCCATCGTCACCCTTGAGTCCAACACAACCCAAGGCTATGAACACTGGCAGGCGGAACCAGAGCTTCCCCATCGAAATCAGGCAGAGACTGGGTTAATTCTGGCGGCTGGCCAGGCCAGAGGATCTCCGTTTGTGCAGGATTCCCTTTGAGTCTGCTCGCTCGCAGCCAACTCATCACTGCTTCCAAACACAGCTTAAAGTTCTCAGGATTCACAGTTGTCCCAGGTTCGAGACGCAAGAGTAGTTGGGTATCATTTGCATACTGGTAGCACTCTCTGCCAAAGCTCCGCACCAGTCCAGCAAGTGGCCGGACGTAGATGTTAAATAACGGGCGAGAGCATGGCACCCTGGGGAACTCACTCCACAGCAAAGGCAGGAGCTTTCAGAGCTTTGGCCTGACCACTCCACCCTCTGTCTCCGGTCCCGGAGGAATGAATTGAACCATTTGAGGGCTAAACCTCCTCGTACGCCAGACAGAGCCAATCGAGGAATCAGCCAGTCATGGTCCACGGTGTCAAATGCAGCTGTGAGGTCCAAGAGTACCAATAGCGCTGATCCGCCTCGGTCTAACTGACAACGAATTTCGTCAGTAATGGCTACCAAGACAGTCTCTGTCCCATGACCTGAACGAAAGCCGGATTGAAAGGGGTCCAAACCCGCAGTCTCATCTAGGAATTGCTGTAGCTGCCCCCCACTGTCCGTACAATCCCCTTGCCCAGGAACGGAAGGTTTGAAACTGGGCGATAGTTACTAGGGATGGCAGCATCAAGGCTTGGTTTTTTCAGGAGAGGGTGGACATCAGGACCCCATTCTAATATTGCCTCCTTGCCCTGCCCCAAAGGCTTGGTCCCACGGCCAGATCTTCACCATCCTCCTGAAGGACAGTACGTGTGAAAAAGATCTTGGAGTCCTCGTGGACAACAAGTTAAACATGAGCCAACAATGTGATGTGGCGGCAAAAAAAGCCAATGGGATTTTGGCCTGCATCAAGAGGAGCATAGTGTCTAGATCCAGGGAAGTCATGCTCCCCATGCTCTATTCTGCTTTGGTTAGACCACACCTGGAATACTGTGTCCAATTCTGGGCACCACAATTCAAGAGAGATTGACAAGCTGGAATGTGTCCAGAGGAGGGCGACTAAAATGATCAAGGGTCTGGAGAACAAGCCCTATGAGGAGCGGCTTAAGGAGCTGGGCATGTTTAGCCTGAAGAAGAGAAGGCTGAGAGGAGATATGAGAGCCATGTATAAATATGTGAGAGGAAGCCACAGGGAGGAGGGAGCAAGCTTGTTTACTGCTTCCCTGGAGACTAGGACGCAATGGAACAATGGCTTCAAACTACAAGAGAGGAGATTCCATCTGAACATGAGGAAGAACTTCCTGACTGTGAGAGCCGTTCAGCAGTGGAACTCTCTGCCCGGAGTGTGGTGGAGGCTCCTTCTCTGGAAGCTTTGAAACAGAGGCTGGATGGCCATCTGTCAGGGGTGATTTGAATGCAATATTCCTGCTTCTTGGCAGAATGGGGTTGGACTGGATGATGATGGCCCAGGAGATCTCTTCCAACTCTTTGATTCTATGATTCTATGACAGGAGGGAGGGGGCGGATTGAATATTGCCAGGAAGGGAGTTCCATAACACGGGGGGGGGGGGGGGAACACTGAGAAGGCCCTGTCTCTCGTCCCCACCAAACGCACCTGTGATGGTGGTGGGACCGAGAGCAGGGCCTCCCCAGAAGAGCTTAGTTCCTTGGGAACCTGCCACGGAGACCTGGGTGCGGGGCTTCCTCCCTCTCTTTGGCTGCCAGGGAAGCTGTCCCAAGCCCCCTCCCTTCCTCTCTCTCCCCCTCCCCCAGATGTGGTTCTGTGTGCTCATTCTGTGAATGCCATGTGCCACAAGGGAGCCACATCTGCCAGGCCAAAGAGGGATAGCAACTGTCCGGTCAGACTGACCCCCCACATCTCCTCCCTGCCCATTGGTGCATCAGAGATGGGTGGAGCTTGACAGCATGGGGCCCTGAAGAGGGGCTCCTTTGTGGGAGCAAAAAGGGAGGTGGGAATGGGGTCTGGATGTCATGATCTGGCTCCTGCTCTTGGACCATTGTGGGCCACCTGAATTCCCTTGGGGGGACCTATGAGTCTTATGGGATTAATATTGTGCAGGTCCGGCACAGGTGCATCCAGAGAAGGTTGGGCCTTGGCAAACTACCACTCTGTGTATCCCTGAGTTGTCTTTTTCCCACTGTGAGGGTTTGGCCATAATTTCTTCCCTTGCCTCTCTTTCTGCAGGTCTCCCCAAGTGTGAGGTGACTGGGTCCTGGCTGAAGTTGGTGGCCTTTTCTTCGGAGCAAGAGGAGTTCTATGTCAATGACACGGCATCTGTGTCCTGTCAGGAAATCAAAGATCGTAGAGCATACAAGGTGGTCTGCGTGGCCGATGGGGAGGGAGCCGCCTGGGACCTCAGCCGCGTCCCCTGCCTGCGTGAGTGGGTTTCAGGAAGGGAGGGGGGCAGCAGAAGGGTGCTCTTGTCCTGGAAGAGGATCCTTGGGGTGGGGGCCCTTGAAATTGGGGGCCCTCCTGGGGAAGGCTGGGCCAAATGCTGCACAAAGGTGCCGTTCATTTTCCGGTCCCAATTCAAGGTGCAGGTTCTTACCTACAAAGCCCTGAATGGTTTGGGACCTGCCTACCTGCGTGACCGCATCTCCGTGTATGAACCCACGCGCTCACCTCGTTCATCCGGAGGCCCTGCTCTCACTCCCACCTCCTTCGCAGGCGCAATTGGTGGGGACGAGAGAGAGGGCCTTCTCAGTGGTGGCCCCTCGACTCTGGAACTCACTTCCCAAGGACATCAGGCATGCCCCAACTCTGGCAGTCTTTAGGAGGAGCTTGGAAACGTGGTTGTTTATTTATTTATTTATTTCACGTACTTCTACCCCGCCCTTCTCAACCCCCGAGGGGGGACTCAGGGCAGCTTACAAAAGGCACAATTCGATGCCTACACAATAATACAAATAAACCTATATAGACAGCAATTAAAACAGTTATAACAGTTAAAAACAATCAATATATATCACAATCAATAAAACCATGCTCATGCTCAGCGTTCGCCAACTCAGAGTCCATAACTTCATTCCACATTGTCCATTCCTATCAGTTGTCGTTGTCCTTTATTTATCTGCCAGATTGCCCAAACGCCTGGTCCCAAATCCATGTTTTTAATTTCCTTCTAAAGGAAAGGAGGGATGGCGATGATCTAATTTCCCCGGGGAGTGAGTTCCACAGGTGAGGGGCCACTACCGAGAAGGCCCTGCTCCTCGTCCCCGCCAACCTCACTTGTGATAGAGGCGAGGCCGAGAGCAGGGCCTCCCCAGAAGATCTTAAACTCCGAGGCGGGGCGTAAAGAGAGATGCGTTCGGACAGATACACTGGGCCGGAACCATATAGGGTTTTGTAGGTCAGAACCAGCACTTTGAATTGTGTTCGGAATTGGATCGACAGCCAGTGGAGCTGACACAGCAGGGGGGTGGTATGCTCCCTGTATGACGCTCCGGTGAGCAATCTGGCTGCCTCCCGCTGGACTAGTTGGAGTTTCCGAACAGTCTTCAAAGGCAACCCCACATAGAGCGCGTTGCAGTAATCTATTTGGGATGTAACAAGAGCGTGGACCACTGTGGCCAGATCCGGCTTCCCAAGGTACGGGCGCAGCTGGCGCACAAGTTTTAATTGTGCAAAAGCTCTCCCGGCCACCGCCGAGACCTGGGTTTCCAGGCTCAGCGATGAGTCCAGGATCACTCCCAAGCTGCGAACCTGCGTGTTCCAGTGTGCCTTCCCAGAATAAGGAAAACTCTCAGCAATATGCCCTCAGAATGCACTTTGCTACTGGTTTAGGATGGACTGCGCTCCCTCATCTCTTCCCAGTCATATCCTACCCGATACCAGTCATATCCTACCTTGTTCATGCCCAGTGTTTAATTTTTAATTTTTAAACTATTACATTTGGCCCGGCCATAGGTTTTAAATCTTGGCGTGTTACTGGTTTTGGTTATTGTTTATATGTGATTTATATTAATTGTATTGTATTTATTGTTTTTGTTATTGCTTTTGTTTATTGTTGTACTGTTGGGCTTGGCCTCATGTAAGCCACTCCGAGTCCCTTGGGGAGATGGTGGCGGGGTATAAATAAAGTATTATTATTATTATTATTATTATTATTATTATTATTATTAAAGGTGGAAGAAGAGACAATAAGTATGGAGACACTCTCCTTCCACCCATTCACTTCTAGGGTGCATGCACACTGCAGAATTAATGCAGTTTGACCTCACTGAACTGTCGTGGCTCCATGCTTTGGAAAACTGCATTATTATTATTATTATTATTATTATTATTATTATTAAACTTTATTTGTACCCCGCTAGCATCTCCCAAGGGATTCGATGCGGCTTACAAAGGCCGAGGCCTCAACACAACAACAACAAAACAATAACAATACAATCCAAAGCAAATTAAAAATTAAAACATAAGCAATAACAAACATTACACCATCTATATATATAAAAATGGAAAGGGTGTTCAACGGGACAGCAAAACGCGAAAACCCCGCAACGAAAACTCACCAAATTTGCCGTGCACATACCTCAACCCACAAGGTATGCACAACACTCATCAAACTTCCAAACAACATTTCAACAAACTCACAATTACAAAAACCAACTGAGCATGTGCAGTGCCCAGGGGAGGAAGTACACACGCAATGCACTCTGGGAACTGTAGTCGGCCTGCTCGCTGGGGGCCAGGATGCTGCATGAACGGAGAAAGGAAGGAAGGAAAAAAGGAAGGAAGGAAGGAAGGAGAAGTTGAGAAGGTATATGAAAGAAGAAAGGTAGGAAAGAAAGAATAAAGAGAGAGAAGGAGGATGGGAAAGAAGGGAGAAAGGAAGGAAGGAGGAAAGGAAAGAAAGATAGAAAAAAAGAAGAAAGGGAAGGGGAAGGGAAGGTGTCAAAAGGAAGGAAGGAAGGAAGGAAGGGGAATTTGGGAAGGGGAAGAGAGGAAAAAAGTGAAGGAAGAAGAGAAAGGGAGGAAGAAAAGAAAGAAAGAAAGAAAGAAAGAAAGAAAGAAAGAAAGAAAGAAAGAAAGAAAAGGAAGTCTGGAAGTCAAGAGCGAAGGAAGGAAGGAAGGAAGGAAGGAAGGAAGGAAGGAAGGAAGGAAGGAAGGAAAGAGAGAGAGGGAAGAAAGGAGAGAAAGAGGAAGGAAAATAAAAAGGGAGGAGGAAGGAAAGAGGAAGAGAAGGAAGGAGGAGAGAAGGAAAGAAAAAAGGGAAGGGAGGAAAGACGGAGCAAAGGAAGAAGAGAAAGAAGGAGAGAAAGAGGGAGGGAAGGAAAGAAATAAAGAGAAGGAAGGATGGGAGCAAAAAGCTAAGGAAGGAAGTAAACAGGTAGAGAAGAAAGAAAGGAAAGAAGAAAAGGAAATGAAGGAAGGACTGAAAGAAGGAGAGAAAGAGGGAGAGAAAGTTGGCCACAGCAACGCGTGGCGGGTAAAGCTAGTTACACAATAAAACCAGGGCTGGGCCAGTGATGGGTACAGGTTAAAAAGTGCTGGGTGTGGCTGGTGGTACATTGGATTTCTGAGCAAGTGCAGAGTGCAGAGAGCCTTAAACTCTAATCAAGTGCTTCTGGGATGTAGAGCTGGGGGTTATCCTACTCCGGAAAGGCACATCGGAATAGCCAGGTCTTCAAGTTCTTCCTAAAGACTGCCAACGTGGGTGCTCATCTAATGTCTTTGGGGAGGGTGTTCCAAAGTCGGGGGGCCACCACAGAGAAGGCCCTGTCCCTCGTCCCCACCAAACGCGCCTGCGACGCAGGTGGGAGAGTGAGCAGGGCCTCTCCGGATGAACGAAGTGAGCGCGTGGGTTCGTAGACGGAGATGCGGTCACGCAGGTAGACTGGTCCCAAACCGTTTAGGGCTTTGTAGGTGAACACCTGCACCTTGAATTGGGCTCGGTAGGTAAACGGCAGCCAATGGAGCTCCTTGAACAGGAGGGTTGACCGCTCTGTGTAAGGAGCGCCAGTTAACATCCTGGCCGCAGCCCGTTGGACCAGCTGGAATTTCCGAGCCGTTTTCAAGGGCAGCCCCACGTAGAGCGCATTCCAGAATAGAGAAACACCCTGTGATGCACCCTGGGTTTCAGCCAAAAGTCAAAGGAGGGAACCCTGGTTAGTTCTGTGTTCTATTTCTGATTTGGTTCATGGCCATTTCCCAAAGTGAGAGTTGTGGTTTTGGAATATTATGTCAAGGGGAGTCTGTACACTATGGAATTAATTAATGTAGCCGGGCATGCCTTTGGGCACCATGGCTCAACGCTGGAGAGCCTGAGAGTTGTAGTCCCTCACCACACTACAAACCCCATGATTCCATAGTATGGGTCCCTGGCCACTCAAGTGGGGTCAAGCTGCATTCTTCCTTCAGTGGGGATGATGCACCATCAACCAGGTGGTGAACTTTCCCCAGGGACTCCATTGTTTTCTATGCATAATTTTGGGCCGTGATCCCCTTGCTCCCCTCACCTGATCTTTTGAACCTGGAACACTAACCCTAAGCTTGGTGATGAGAAACCTTGGACCGAGAGCCAGACTGACAGGAACCCTCCTCCTCTTGCTTCCTCTAAGGATGCCAAGTGCCCAAGAGCTGGGACAGCCGCCTGGAATGGACACCTCAGGCCTTGACCTTTGGCCCTGAAGAGACCCTGAGCCTGACCTGCACAAAAGGTTACCATCCTGTTCCAGAGAGGGTCCAGTGTGTTGTAAGGACTAACAAATTTGGCTGGAATGTCAGGCCCATTTGCAAGGCAGAGAAGGGGTCAACCACCTCCCCTCCTTCCACCAGCCCTGAGCCAGGCCCCCCACTGACCACCAGCAAGGCTCCAGGAGGATCTTGTTCGAGGGCAGAGTGGCCCTCCTCCGTCTCTGCTGTTGAACCATCTCCCAAGGAGACTTTTGCCATCGGTGAATATGTTTGGGTGAGATGTCACCTGGAGCAATCCTTCGGACCCAAGGAAAACTGGATCTTGTGCAGAGAGAAGGATGGCCATCCCGAATGGGACACCAGCAGCCTCCAATGCGTTGGTGAGTTGGGGGGCGGCGGGGGGGGGGGGTCATAGCATCGTAGAATCATAGAATTGGGAGGGAGCTCTAGAGTCCTTCCAGTCCAGCCCCCTTCTGCCAGGCAGGAAGGCACCACCCAAGCCCTCTAGGCAGATGGCCCTCGAGATTCAGCTTCAAAACCTCCAGAGAAGGAAGGGGACTCCGCTGGACTTCAGGGAAGCCTATGCCACTGCCAAAGAGCTCTTCTGATCCTCATGTTGAGACCGGATCTCTTTCCCTATCATTTGAACCCATGGCTTTGCTGTGTCCCAGTCTCCAGAGCAGCAGGAACCAAGCCTTGCCCTTCCTCCTCCTCCTCTTCTCCTCAGGATGGCACCCTGCCCAGTATGGAAATACACCCCCCCCCCCGCCCCCTTCTCTCGACCTCCTTTTCTCCAAGCTCAACATCCCCTGCTGCTCCCTCGGCCAATCCTCAGGCGATCCATGGCATCAACCTTGGACCATTTGGGTCTCCCTTCCAGCTTGTCAGTATCCCCTTTCTGCAAGGTCTTTCATCCTCTGCGCTTCCCCCAACTACACATCCCAAGGTTCCCGTGTAGATGCACCACAATCGAGGGAGTGAGGAATCCATTCTGGGTTTCTATTCCTGGGTCTGGGGGAGCTGTCCAAGGTCCTGAACATGAATCCCTTCACCCCAACTCCGTTCAGTTCCTTCCACAGAGGCATGGGAGCCAGGAAGGGGGCCTGGAGTGGGTTTGCTGCAGCCCAGGCCCCATAGGACCCCAATGTCCACCCTGGCCTCCTCATGGAGAGGACCTTGGAGGCTGGTTTCTCCGTCTTCAGGTGGAAATGGAAACCTTCCAACCTGGTGGGCGGGTTGGAGGCTCTGGGCTGGGAGGCCGGTCTGGAAGGGCCTGCTTTCCACTGACCGTCCTTCCTGCATTTGCTCCTCAGAGAAGCCCCAGGTTTCCAAGGAAGAGCTCCAGGCCTCAGCCTCCAGCATCAGGCTCAGGTGGGGCTGCAGCCCCCCAGGACCCTGCCAGGACTGGCCCTTCCGGGGCTCCTGCCAACTGACCAGGCGACCACATGGGTCCTGCAAGAAACACAGATGGAGAGGATGGAGTCCTCTCACACAGAACCAGACCTTGCATTGTGATGGCTTGGATCCCTCTTCTTCATATCGCGTCGTTGTCCAGGGATTCCATGCAAAGGTGGGCTGGCATCTCTTGTATGAGGAAGACATCCTGACGCAGGATGCAGGTAAGAGAAGTCTTAGGGGAGGAGGGTTATTTTGATGGGACAGCCCACTGCCAAATGCATTCGCCCCAAGAAAGTCCACCCACCCACCCCATGCCCAGAGGTGCCATTGAGACCCACTTCTGCTTCCCTTTTTAAAAGGCAAGCCCCACACCCCGGGGGCTTCTTTCCCATTAGACCCCATCAGGCCAGAAGATCGGGTACAACAGATGTATTTGAGCAAACCATTCTGTCGGGTCAGCAAGGTAAAAGTGCCACGCTTCTGAGGTGCAGCTCGGGGTATTTTACAGTCCAAGGTTTGAAGTATATGCACACAAACTCTTTCATTCACCCTTCTCTTTCCCTTTTGTTCTCTTCTGGCCCCTCCTTACCAGCAATTCACAACAACAACAACATCTCCTCTTCCTGGCTTGTAGGCCATCGACCTCTGCCCTTTGAACTTTCTCCTCCTTCATCTCACTCCTTCCCTTGTTGCTGTGACTAGGGGAACTCTCTGCCTTCCCCGGAGGGAGTGTGGGGATTCCATCTGAACATGAGGAAGAACTTCCTGACTGTGAGCCATTCAACAGTGGAACTCTCTGCCCCAGAGTGTGATGGAGGCTCCTTCTTTGGAAGCTTTTAAACAGAGGCTGGATGGCCATCTGTCAGGGGTGATTTGAATGCAATATTCCTGCTTCTTGGCAGAATGGGGTTGGACTGGATGATGGCCCAGGAGGTCTCTTCCAACTCTAGGATTCTAGGATTCTATAACTAAAGAGTTTCTATCTCCCTCTCAACTGCCCCACCCCACCCCACCCCCAATCTAAACCTTCCCTGGCTTGGTAATTTCCCATCTTGGAATAGAATGATAGAATCCAAGAGTGAGAGACCTCCTGGGCCATCATCCAGTCCAACCCCATTCTGCCAAGAAGCAGGAATGTTGCATTCAAATCACCCCTGACAGATGGCCATCCAGCCTCTGTTTAAAAGCTTCCAAAGAAGGAGCCTCCACCACACTCCCTCCGGGGCAGAGAGTTCCACTGCTGAACGTCTGCCACAGTCAGGAAGTTCTTCCTAATGTTCAGATGGAATCTCCTCTCTTGTAGTTTGAAGCCATTGTTCCGTGTCCTAGTCTCCAGGGAGGCAGAAAGGAAGCTTGCTCCCTCCTCCCTGTGGCTTCCTCTCACATATTTATACATGGCTGTCATCATATCCCCTCTCAGCCTTCTCTTCTTCAGGCTAAACATGCCCATCTTCTTCGTTTCTCTTTGCTCTAGTCCCTTCAGTGCTCAGAAGCATCGGGGCCCATGGGGTCTCAGCCCCTTTGTGGCCCTTGTGCTTGTGGCCAGGACTCTCTTGGTCCATCCTCTGCCCTCCCACTTTTCCAACCACCTTTGAACGCCCCCTTCTCCCTCCTCCTCCCCCTTTGCCCTCAGCTTATTTTCATTGCTGC